GTATGATTTTCCATTGGAAGCCCCTTCTAGCTGTTTTCTGTGGTATTTTGATATGTCCCCACATTCTTTGAAGTCTTCCTTGACTACAGTCTAGACAAAGCCCATCTTGACAATGATCTAACTGAACAGCCCCAGGGTCAGGTGAAGGCTGAAAGCAGTGTTCACTGACCCTGTGACAATTTTCCCACCATGTAGCCAGCAGACCAACACCACACAGTGGTGTTGTCATACTGATCCCTGAGGGGATCCAGGTAGCAAGACAGTAGGCCCATTTGGGGGCTACCTGATTCATTCATAGGGGGCAGGGTTTTCTTTACCTTGAGTTGATCATTTGAAGACAGAAGTTGATGTAAAAAGCTTCTGCTATAGCCAGTCCAAGTTTACCTGAGCCTCATTAAAAAGCAGGATCACAAATTATGTCTGCAGACTAAGTGCATTTTGCTTAGCATTGGCTAATGATAATCCAGAAGTGGAAAATCGCTTCCTAACTTTCCACCGACCCCAAAAGGACATAGCTGTGACTACTTCTTCTGGGCCACCCTATAGGTTTGTGGAGATGAGGCCCAGATTCTGCTTATGAGATTGGTAGTTCTAAAAGTTGAGAGAATATCAGACTCATACTTCTTGATGCTTTAGAGAGTAAGTTGTGTTTGTTTGTTGCCTGGCTTCTAGAAATCTGAATTCACAGGACTAGAGTGTAAGGCAGCATCCGCTGAGGTTTGATTTGCAGACAGACAATGGAAGAAACCTAAATAGGAGTCTTTTAGTCTTTATCCTACAGATGGATGGCTGGAGTGAGAGCCATGCAGTCCTAAAGACCAAGAACACAGTGAGAATCCATAGAAGACAGGTGACACGGTGAGGAGCAGCCTGGAATGGGAAAGCAGGACCAGTGAAGCAGAGGCTAAGTTCCCTCCTGGGATGCAGGACTCAGGGCTCACCACCAAGGGTTGGTGATATCCCTGCTCAGTTCTACCGACTGGAGAGCCAAATCCCTCCCACCTCCTCCTCAGCTGCCAGTTTACTCTCCAGACCCTTCTTTCCTAAAGAAAGTGATGGCTTCCTCCCTTTTTCAGGAGGAAGAGAGGTGCTTAATCTTGAATATGCACATATATGAACAGCTTGTTAAATTTTACAGTGAACACACCTTCTAACTAGATTTCCCTTTCCATTTAAAGAGAAGGGAGAGGGGTCAATGAAGAGCCCAAGAATGTAAAAGCTAGTGCACCTTCAGAATCAAATAAGTCCTGTTCCATCGTTCACAGAATAGGGGACAGTGGTTCGAGGAGGCTGAGGGAGTAGCTAAGGACACACAACCATTTGGTGAGAAAGGAGAATCTGGTGGGAGAGAGATGAAAGGCTCCAATCTGGAAGGAGCCAACAGTCATCAGAGGCTGATGGGCCACCTTTGTGGAGACAAGAAATAAGGCTTCACAGAAGTCTTATTTTTCTGAAGAGGTTCAGGAAAGAAAGGAACCATCAGAGAAAGCAAAAAAGAATTGGCGAACAAATTAGCTAAACCATGACTACCACATTTTTACCTGGAGATCACCATTCTCCAAAGGGACTTTGCATTTCATTACACTGTAGGAACATTCTAAGAATATCATGAAAAGCTTCAGCTGTTGCACTTTAAGCCATTTCTCTCTCCTATCATCCTTGGAATTACTCATCAGAGAATGGTTTCCTCTTAGTTTCTTAATTTCTTATGGCAGGATAAAGGATAGCATATTGATAAGAATGTTTTTATATGTTTTAATTCCTATTTAGAGAATTGTAGAGGCCAGTAAGACCTAATACTTCTCTTCTAAAATATGCCTAAAGAAAACATTTTAAATCCATGTTTTTCAAGCTATGTTCTCAATTCATGGGTGGATCAGGAAATCAACTTAGTATGGAAATTATGAAAGTGCATTGTATGTAGTAAGGGTAAGTATAATTTTGCAAAATTTTAACTATTTTACATGTTGTATGAACAGAGTCACAGTGTGGTATGTGTTTCTTATTGTGGGTTGTGGTCAGGAAAATTTAAGCAACATGGATCTAGAAGGAGGATATCTGTGTGGGAAACACAACTGACATGATTCATCTGTTGCTTTTCCACTGATCCTTGTTCCAGATTCTATAACCATCACTCCTGACAGGCAAATGCAAATTGCATAAATGGCCTGATTTTCAGCGTTGCTGTGAAGGAGATGCACATTTTGGGACAGTTTGTAGCTGGTTTATCTGTAATGTTAGGCAATTCTTATTCCTGGCTGTTTGTTAGAATCATCTGTCCAGAATTTAAAACTCTCAAGGCCAAGCTCCATCCCAGATCAAATAAGTCTCAATTTCTAATAAGGTTTGATAACCATTTTTAAAGCTCCTCAGGTGAATGTAAGGTGCAGCCAAAATTGAGAACCTAAATTCCTTAATCTCACCTTTCCTTGGATGTGCCTTCTTTCCCACTAAAGCACAAAGATAATGCTCTGCCTTCTGACAACAAATCATTCTCTCCTTTAGGGCCATGACTGTCTTAATAATTATTATTTTACCTTCCTGCATCTCTGTGCATTTTTTTTAAAGATTTTATTTATTTGACAGGAAGAGAGAGCACAAGCAGGGGGAGCGGTAGGCAGAGGGAGAGGAAGAAGCAGACTCCCCCCTGAGCAAGGAGCCCTGGGATCATAACCCTAGCCAAAGGCAAACATGTAACTGACTGAGCCACCCATCTGACTGAGCCACCCAGGTGCCCCTCTTTGTGCGTTTTTATAAAACTGGCCCATGGACTCCCTTTATCCAAGCTAAATTATAGCTAACTCCCCTATCTTTCATGCCTTCAAGATTCATTGAGTTGCATTTTGCCATACTGAAAACTTGATACAACAAAGGCAAAGTAAAAAAGAATGATAATGAGACAGTGCATAGAGCAGTAAGGAGACAAGGAGGGGGATGGTTGGGGTGGAGATGGAAAGTAGAAGGACACAAACGTGGGTATGGGCAAATTGTGGGATATTCATATAATAAATAGTACTCAACCATAAAAAGAAACTAATGACTAATACATGCAACAACAAGGAAGAATTTCAGAACTGTTATGATGAGCTAAAAAATCAGGTCGCAAAGCAATAAATAGTTTATGGCTCCCTGGATATGTAGTGGGTGGAAGGCAGGCTCCGTGACTCTGGCTGGTGGACTGGTCTCAGTCCTTGACTTCTTCAAAATAGCATGTGACCTGATCATTGTACTAGTACAACTAAGTAGAATTGCAATCTGGTCCCAAATTTGACATGGCATGTGTTTTCCAAAGCACTTCTCTCTCATTTATTCATTCTTCTGTTGTTTCTCATTGCCTCCATTGCTCTCCTTTCCCTGAATCCACAGTTACCCATTTTACAGGCGGTTCAGACACACCTGAGCTAGTTTTCTCCCTGTCATTGTACCCTCTGACCTCAAAGGTCGCTGAACCTGTAGCAGCCCAGGTGGAGTGTTGGAAGCCCACCTCTTCCCCGTTCCATTTTCTTGGCATTCATTGAGAATGAACCTCTTGAGGCTCTCCTCTTGAATGCTGGTCTTCAGTTGTCCATTATTCTTCGAGGGAACTTTCCCATGTGTATACTTCTCCCTGAAAGCCCAGAGTTAAAGTCTTTGTTGGCTCTCCCTGGGAGAGAGGGACAGACTATTAGAGGTATGGAGACCTCAGGCATCTGATGTTCTAGGTCTTGAAACCCTGCCCTCTGCATCTATTTCTGGACTGGCTTCCCTCCAGTGCATCCTCTAAAGTCCTCCAGGTGAAGACAGCTTTCAAGGAGGCTAGAGGATGCACCTGGGAGACCAGTGACTGCACAGGTCCATAAACCCGATGCTAAGGAGAAAACTAACTCCAGGTCAGGCTTTCATTGGAGGTGTTTTGGAACCGAATACAAAAATAAGAATTCAGATTCTTCGGGTCAAGGAGTAGACCAACTGGAGAAGGCTACTGACGCAATCCAAACCAACCCTGGTGACAGAAGAATCATCCTGTGTGGTTGGAATCCAAAGGCTCTTCCTCTCCTGACCCTGCCTCCACACCACGCCCTGTGCCGGTTCTATGCGGTGAATGGTGAGCTGTCCTGCCAGGTTTGCCACAGGTCACGAGCCATGGGCCTGGGTGTGCCCTTCATCACCAGCTGTGTAGGCCCTGCTCACCTACACAGTCTCACACATCACAGGCCTGAAGCCAGCTAACTTCATAATTACTTTGGGAGATGCACATATTTACCTGAATCACATCGAGCTGCCGAAAACCTCAAAATGCTTCTAAAAGTTGAGACAATCGATGCCTCAAGGCTGAAGACTTTCAGATTGAGGAGTATAATTCTCACCCTACTATTAAAATGGAAATGGCTATTTAATGAAGTACTTCTAAGGAGGGGTTTGAAGGATCATCAGTCTTTAGGGGTTGGACTGAATGCCCAGGTGAAAGCTCGTTTGCCCTCAAGAAGAAGGAACTAGGTCAAAAATCTATTGGTGACCAGCAGTTACTGTTCATTAACTTTTAAGGATGTTGCCCCTGGCACACATAACCTTGCCGGTTCGCTTAGTAACAAAAGGCCTTGAGTTTGGTTAGCTCACCAAGGATGTGTGAAAATGCTGAGACTGGGTATAAAGTCAGGAGAATGAAAATTTATATACTCTTAAAAATGTGTGCATGCATTTCAATCCCACATTTTATAAAGAAGGTCAGTGAATTTCAAGAATTACATATAAGCTATTTCTCCAAATTTTAGCAAACTGAGTAAACCAGCAGTCATAATAATGTACAGTTGTACTCATAAACATTTAAAGTTTTATTTGCTTTATGTGTTGCTGTAATAAAGAAGTGTTCTGCAAAAAAAAAAAAAAAATAATAATAAAGAAATAGCTAATAGAGAAAACCCATTTTTCCTTTAACCTTTTCTATGAATTTCTGGCCATTATGGGTTTTATTCTTTCCTCACAAATTTTACTCTATATAGGCATTCAATACACGTAAACAATAATTTTTAAGTAAGAATTTATTAATTTGATCCATTCATTTAAAAGTCGATGTCGATGCCTCCAAGTTCATAGCCAAGAATGCTGTTGGATAGGGCTGGAAAAGTTCTGGAGAACATTCTTCTAGACCGTCCAGACATCATATGTCACAAGACGTCCTGAGCAGAGCCGGAAGAGTGACTCTGAGCGTATGAATGAGGGGTTGCCAGGGAGACACCTGGAGCGGACCGTGTGATGCCTAGGGAGGGAGAGACAGAGCACCAGTGATGTCTGCAGGGACGTAGAGAACTCTTCACTGACTACTCGAAACAAACTGACATTCCTTTCCCTCCTTATTCACACTCAGCTGGAAGTGGGAAAGGGAGGGAGAGAGCACCAAGCTGCTATCCAGTTCACAGCTAGTGACTCCTGGTTATCTGCAAAGCTGGAGCAAGGGACTAATATATGAGATGTGAATTTCCCAGAGCCATTCGCTCCTACATTGCTAGGGATGTGTCGATGGGACGTCCGGACCTTCTAAGCAGCAGCCTTATCCAAATTGAGAATAACTATTACAATTTTGGCCCATGTGGGTCCAGGCAATTTTTGTACTTTCCACCCTCTTCTCTTTGTCTCTGCAACTGGGTACTGCTGTGGAAAGGGGGGACACGGAAGTGACCAGATTTGGGGTTTGCCCTGTGTAAGCCTGAAAACTCCAGTTTGCGTTCCCAAAGGCCCTTCTCTTGTGGTAGAGCTGAGGCACAGACTCCGGGTTCCACCCATGGAAGCCAGATGTGGATACTGTCAGAGGGAGTTAAAAAACCCAGACAAGTCATACCTTTGGGAAACAGATGCTCTCAAAGATACACTTCCCTGCAACCACCAAAGTTAGAGGCTTAGCCACACAGAAAACCTGGGGGCTTCACGCACTGGCACAATCAACGTGGTGTGGCCGAGTCACACTATAGCGGGCCACACACTCATGTGCAATGGCTGCAGCTGTGGGACAGTCTTGCCCATGAATTAGCTGCTACTGGCATGTCGTAGGGCCCTGGCCGCCATTCTTCTGAGCTTGGCAAAGGAGAAGGGATGTGCAAGTATTGGTCTCCGAGTGACAGCATCATGTGGAAAGTCTGGGAATATGGACCTTTCACATATGGGCAGCAGCAGGTGGTATCCAGGGCATGCGGCAGTGGTAAGGAAGTGGGATGTGGTCCTCCCTCTGCTGAAGGGGGCATCCTGGACATCTCGGTTCTACCGCGTGCCAGGCAGGCCATAAGCCAGGTGCATCAGCAGGTAGTGTCGGGAGTTACAAGAATGGGCACTGTGTCAGACAGCCCTGAGCATGAGACCTAGGCCTGCCTGGGGCAGAACACTCAGTGCCTTCATTTATAAAGTGGGGACAACAGAGCCTGCCCTCTCAGGGCAGATTGTGAGGAAGGCTAGTATTGCATGCACACTGACGAGCCTTTTAACTGGGAACCTATGTGCCCTTTGAGACTCTAGCTGTGGGCAGAACCAGTTTTTTGCCTTTCCTACTTTTTCCTTTGTCAGCACAGCTGAGCACGTGTTCCAGCCTCTCCTGCAGGCGGTCGTTGAGGCAGATGGACTCCTCTAGGCGCTGGCGCAGGTTCTGGATCTCCACAAGATTCTTTTCCAGTAGGTCAGCCCCTGTTGCTTCCCACCAAGACACGGGAGAGGTAAGAGGTGGGGGAAGCCAACCACTCGTGGGCAGCTATGGAGCCCACCCAGAACTTCTGTGCAAGATCCCTGCCCATCCCTGTACTTCTGTCAACTTCTTTCTCTCACCTGGGCACCCAGGAAGCACCAGGCAACTTTGTTTAAAGAGCTCCTGGGCTTTCAAATACAAGATGGCCCTCTGTAAGGAAACCCCACAGGGCCTCCTCCCAGATAGAGGCCGAGTACATCTGAGGGAGATGGACACTGGGCTGGAAAACAAGGGTTAAAATCTGCTACAGGCCTCCAGGTAGGATTGGCCTAACAGCGAGAAAGTTAGTCTAACTCCTTTGGTAGCAATCCAGAGGGCCTCTCTCTCTAACCTCATACCTATCCTACCTGATGATCCATGACTGAAAATCTTTAACATCCACCCGCTAATAGAAAGGCTAAGGTAAATGCATATGAAATTAAATCAGGCAGTGAATAATATGTGATACTGAGTGTTTTCTTTAACCACTTTTGGTGAAGAGTGACAAGGAAGGGCCTGGGGAGTTGTTAGGACCTGAAGGAAGAACAGGAGAGAAGGGGGCACCTCTGAGGAAGGCAAGGGATGCACAAAGGGAAGGGGAAAGAGACCAAGAATGGGCTTCACCTATCAGGACACCTTGCTTAGGGCCAGGTTTTTCTCTGAGAATTTCAAATGTCTTATTGTTATACTGTCTGGGTCCTAGAAACTGAGGTGCTTCAAGCCATTCCTCTTCATGGCTGCACCTCTAGTCACTGGTGGCCAGGATGCCTGGCTCTAAACTCAATAGCAAAGTTTGAGTGGCAAGACTGACTTATAGTTGCATACAAAGAGCGCGTGAGTGTGTACCTATAGAAATAGTCTCCCATCCTACAGTAAATAGCTCTTGACCTAAGGAAGACCTTTCCCATGTAAGCCTGAGCTGGGAATTCTAAGAACAGTCTCAACCTAGGCCTAGGAAGATTATAGCACAGAGAAAAGGGAACACATGAATGTGAAGCAACTCATCCTCTCTGTGGAATACCTCAGAATGCCCCCGACTTCCTGTATTCTCCTGCTCAGAGGGAATCCCTCTGTAGGGGGAATGGGAGAGGCACTTGGAAAGGACCAGCACTGGGCTGGCATCTCATTTGCTGGCTGAGCCACAGGATACTGCCCCCTTCGTCTCACCCAGTTCTGTGAATCAGGATCTAACAGAGAAATAAAAAAAATCCTTGGGCCCGCAAAGAATGTGTTCATTCCCATCAATGGGCTCTACTTCACCATCTGCTCCTTTGTGTTTACCAGAGGGTTTGGAGTTGGGCCGGTACAAAGAGGAGAAGGAGGATAGGTGCCCAGACGCATTCATTTTCTGAGGCCTCATCTCGTCCCATGGGCCACAGTTGCCCCAGTGCCCTGGGTCTGCTGTCCTGCTCAGTTGTGTGGTGCCACTCAGAGGATGGGAGGGCTGGGCAGATCTGGCATCTGGATGGTTGCTGAGCAATGAAGCTGAATCAGCAAGAGTGGCTGGGGTGACATCTGTCCAGAAAGGAACGTGAGGGAGAAACCAATGGAAAGTCAGAAATAAAGTGTTTTAAAGATAATTATACTGGGTTGAATAGTGTCCTCCAAAAAGTCATGTCCACCTGGAGCCTCACAATGTTACCTTATTTGAAAATGGGGTCTTTGCAGATGTAATGAGTTAGGATGAGATGATACTGGATTAGAGTGGACCTTCATCTAATATGACTAATGTCCTTATAAGAATAGGAGAGGAGACACAGATAAAGAGACACACAGCGGGAGAAGACCCCATGACGAGGGAGTCAGGAGGCAGACACTGGAGTGATCCATCTACAAGCCAAGGGAGGCTCCCAGAGACCACTAGAAACTAGGAAGAGGCAAGGAAAATGGAGCATGGCCCTGATAACACTTGATTTCAGACTTCTAGCCTCCAGAACTTGGACAGAACAAACATCTGTTGTTTTAAAACACACAGTCTGTGAAACTTTGTTACAGCAGCCTTAAAAAATGAATACAGTAATCCATGGAATGAAGACTAAAGCAGATATCAGAGACCTCAAGCACAGGGAGTGATTTCTCTGACATCCGCCATAGCAACATTTTTCTTTCTTTCTTTTTTTTTTTTTTAAGACTTTTATTTATTTGTCAGAGAGAGAGAGCACAAGCAGGGGGAGCAGCAGAGGGAGAGGGAGAAGCAGGCTCCTCACTGAGCAAGGAGCCCAATGTGGGACTTGATCCCAGGACCCTGGGATCATGACCTGAGCCGAAGGCAGACGCTTAACGACTGAGCCACCCAGCCATCCCTGCCACGGCAACATTTTTCAAGATACGTCTCCATTGGCAAGGGAAACAAAAGCAAAATTAAACTATTGGGACTACATCAAAATAAAAAGCTTTTGTGCAGTGAAGGAAACCTTCAACAAAACAAGAAGACAACATACTGAATGAGAATATTTTGCAAATGATGTATCCAATAAGGGGTTAATATCCACATATATATAAAGAACTTATATAATTCAACACCAAAACTCCCCAAATAATCCAATAAAAAAATGGGCAGGGGACACAAATAGATGTTTTTTTCAAAGAAGACATACAGATGGCCAACACATGAAAAGATGCTCAACATCACTCATCAGCAGAGAAATGCAAATTAAAATCACAATGAGCTATCACTTTACACCTGTCAGAATGGCTAAAATAAAAAGCACAAGAAATAAGTGTTGGTGAGTGGGAATGTGGAGAAAAAGGAACCCTCATGCACTGTTGGTGGGAATGTAAGCTGGTACAGCCACTGTGGAAAACAGTATGGAGGTTCCTCAAAAAATTAAAAATATAACTACCAGTATGATCCAGTAATTCTACTTCTGGGTATTTACCCAAAGAAAACAAAAACACAAACTTGAAAATATATATGCACCCCTATGTTTACTGCAGCATTATTTACAATTGCCAAATTATGGAAGCAAGTGTCCACCCATAGATGAATCGATAAAGAAGATGTGGTATTTATATACAATGGAACACTACTCAGCCATAGAAAAGAACAAAATCTTGCCAGTTGTGACAATATGGAAGGAGCTAAGTGGAATCAGTCAGAGAAAGACAAATACTATATGATTTCACTCTTATGTGGAATTTAAGAAACAAATGAACAGAAAAAGAGATAAACAAAAAACCAGACTCTTAAATATGGAGAACAAACTGGTGGTTGCCAGAGGAGAGGTGGGTGGGGGGATGGGTGAAATAGGTGAAGGGGATTAGGAGTAAACTTATCATGATGAGCGCTGAGTACGGAATTGTTTTTTGTTTTTGTTTTTTAAGAGAGAAAGAGAGAGAGTGAGCATGGGGAAAGGGCAGAGGAAAAGGGGGAGAGAATCTTAAGCAAACTCCATGCCAAGCATGGAGACTGATGTGGGGGTCAATCTCATGACCCTGAGATCATGACCCGAGCTGAAACCAAGAGTCGTACACTCAACTGACTGAGCCACCCAGGAGCCTCATAGAATTGTTGAATCACTCTCTTGTACACCTGAAACTAATATAACTCTGTATGCTAACTATACTTGAATTTAAAAAAAAGGAAAAACAAAGAAGGAGTGGTTGGATGTAGTATCTGAGGGTTACAGTGCATGCACAGGAAAACTACAAGTGCTCTTCTCCTGGATCCCTCCATGATTCCCAATGCTGGAATGATCCGAGAGGTACTGCAGAAATGTCTCCTCCAGGAGCAGAACTCACTGCCAATCTTAGAAATCATGAGATTAAGGAGATGAAGCGTTTTGCTGGTCTGTGAACAGGTAATATACTCACCAAACAGTCGATGCCCTTCATGAGACTATTCTATATTGGGGGTTGTTGGAGGAGGAAGAGAAAGGGAAAATGGCTTCCATTAATAGCCAATGAACAAAGAACTTAAACAGGGTAGGGTGACACTCCTGGTGCGTCCCACTCCTCCTGCCTCCTACTCTGGATGCCTACTGAGGCTGAGGGAGTCTCGGAGGAAGGCAAGTGGTGATTTGGATCCCACCCAGAATGGCTCACGAAACTGTAAAAATAATTCTTAAGTATAGTTTAGATTGTCTAACTCCTGTCCAAAGAATGCCTGGGTTATTTCTGCATGGGGGATTGTAGAACCAAAAATACATAGCATCAATTATGCTATGAGAACCTGGCTATGCCTTTTGCTGTCTCCCTTTGCGAAAAAACCCCACTTGGGTGGCAGGGCCATAATTCAGCTAAAAATATGAGTCAGCTCCCTTTCAAGGATTATTATCAAGGGACAGAGTAGACAAGTTTCTCCAATGAGCAGGTAAGAGTGAAGTCCTTATTTCCCTTCAACCAAGTCAAGTTCCTCTAAGGAACTGTGCACTTAAATCAATATCCAGTGGGTCTTGTCCTTCCTTTATGGATGGTATTACCTAATACCAGATGTAATTAGCATCACTGTGGAATAAAGAGGAAGGTAAACTACATAAGCCTTCATCACAATGCCCAGCAATGTAAGAACTCAACCAAAAGGTGATTCCCAGGCCCTTCCAAAGCTCCTTTACCCCCCTCTCCAGAAAACCAGCTTACTCTCAACCAAGGCCATAGGAGTAACAGCAATCAGCATTCTCATGTCTCCCCTGGCCACACAACACAGAAAACATGCCCTACACTGTACACAGAAAGCAACGGAGAACAGCCCCTTGTGAGGAGAATTTCGCCTCACAGGGAAGCTGCCACACCAGTCACACTTTTTGTTAACTACTCTAGAAGTTTTGGCTCAAAAAGCAAAGGAGGAGCAAGTGATAAGCCATTGCCCCTCTGAGAGGATATTGACTTCAGATGGAAAAAAGGGCTTCAGTCTCCCTCAGAAAAGCTAGAGGTGGCAGAAAATAAAGCTGATGCCATCTCAGAGGCCACATCTCAAGTGTGACCATTCCTACAAGTCGTGGCAGGAACTGCAGCTGAGGGGAAGTGGAGTCTGCCCTTCTACTGTCTCTCAGGGTAGCAATGAGGTGGAATCAAGTGCCTTTGGGCAACTGAGTTCATGGATGTAGGTAAAACCCCATTGACCCCTTGGAGGAGATCACGTACATATCAAGGACAGTCCATTTATTTATAAATTCTTGGGTGAAAGTGCAGTGTGTATAGGGTCTTGTCTCATGTGCAGAGGCTAGACCTTTGTCACAAAGAGTGGAGTGGGGACAACACTGGCTCCAGAAACCCAGCAAAAGAGGTGTGGGAAGAGGTGATTCCCTCCCTGCTCTGTCCCTGGCTGTTCACGCTGCAGTGCAGCGGGTGGTCTGAGCTTTTGAGTCATGCAGGCTCCCAGTGAATGGCACCGCCAAGCTGGGCGCTCTTCAGTAAGTTCCCTGACTTCGCTGAGCCTCAGTGTCCTTGGCTGTGTTGTAAAATTGGGACACCAGCACCTACGAGGTGGATGCTTGTGCCGATTAAATGAGGCAAGAGATGTAAAATAGTCAATAATGTGAGCATTAAATATGTGCTCAATCCATGTGAATTTCCTCTCTTTCCTTGGTTTCTATAATTCTCAGGGAAACACTATGCTGCTCTGATCCTCAGGGTAAAATGAGAAACAGGAATAGTACCAGGTCAAACCCATTATGGCTCATTCATTGCCTAAAACAGTCAATTCAGGGAAAAAAAAAATCATATATACCCAGAGACAAAGGATGGTTTCTCGGTGTTGTCTACACCAGGATTTGATTGCTATAGTTCCTTAAAAATAGAAATGTTTTTTCTCGGGAAGGAAGTTAAAGAGAAAACTGAGCAGGAGAAAATGAAGGTATGATTTTAAATGTACTGTCCTCCACCTACCTCCCACCACGGCTACCCAAGGGCTCTCCTTGGGGGATTCTGGGGAGGGGCAGGCTGGTGATGGATTCAGCCTGAACCCGAGACACATCCCAGTTACTGAGGGTTGAGGACATTACAGTTGAATTATTAGAATGATGGATGGGATCTGCAAATCCACAAATGAGAAAGAATATGTAGTGGTAAACAGAAAATAGGAACCATGACTGTTTACCCCAAGGATTTCAAGATCAGAGGCCCAGTGTTAATGATGTTCATGCCCGTGACCTGCAAGATGACATGATTGGGTTGCAGTAATGAGGAAGTGTTTGCCCCTTCCCCTTCCCAACTCATGACTCCTCCCCTCAAGTCCAACACCATGTCCGTGCCAGAGGGGGTCTGGTGGCTGAGGCCGTGTGGGTCTAGGAATGGAAAAGAGCTACCTGACCCCCTTGGGGCCTATGCTTGGCACTGAGTCCCGGGCCCGGGCTCTACCAGGGACATCACAGTGGATCTGCAGGGCCTGGTTGCAAAGATACCTACTTTTGGTGTAGACAAAGGAGCAAGCACCTAGCAACTGGACACGGTAAGGGTACTCACTGGCCACATCCACTGAAGGGCGTTCTTCTTGTTCTTCATGAAGCAGGGAGGTGCTGCTGGAGGACAGATGGGTGGCAGACTGGCCATGGTTGCTGGAGTGGATCTGAGGCAGAGTGTGGGGCTGGGCCTCCTGCCTGGTCCTTAGGACTTCTGTCACTTTACCCTTCTTATGCATCTCCCTTAAGAGACTGGTGGGGTAAGAAAGAGGAAAAATAAAGGTCACCTGAATGACATGGCTGTAATGATCTGGCGGCTCACAGGACAAGCGCCAGAAGTCAAGGAGACTGTTCCTTCGGAGGAGAAGCCGAACAGTTGGTTTCTGTCTGGGGGTGGAGAGCGGGGGCTAGGGGAGAACAACGGCTGCCCAGTGCCTTGGCCACAGACATCCTGAGGAAGAGAGAAGACCCATTCAGCCCTTTCAATAATGCTCCTGGCTCCTTCACAAGACAACCAGATGTCCTTGAGAGTTCAACATACTCCGTGAACATGATGCGTTCAGTAGTATTTGCTGTGGCCTATTTAAAACTGCTTCCCGAGGCAATGTGGCCTCCCAGGTGTCTTGTAGTTTCTAGGCCTCCTTCCTGAAGTCCTGTCATACAGTATAAATCTTTTTCTTTTCTTTTTTTGCGAGGAAAATTTGTAGATATTTAACATCTGCCAGCACCTCTGGGGTCACCATTGAAGAAACCAGATACAGTCTCACTCTGGTCTTTAAAGATCTAGGGGAAATCAGAGGGGGCCCCTGGGGATACAGGAGACTCCTAAGACTGAATAGAGCAGCTAGTATTGCTTAGTTGGTGAACTAATATAAGAATGGGACCAAAATAATAATAAATTAAAAAAAATAGGAAACAAGACCACTTCATCACTAGGGACACATACTGATTTGATGTTATAATCAGCCATTTTGCTTTTTGTGGGGTGTGAAACCTCCTGCTTCTTTGAGCTTCTGTCCCTTGCTTCTAAATCCTTCATCACATTATATGTTTCACAGCCCCTGAAAGTTGGGAGTTACCTGAGGGTCCGCAGCATCTGTGTTGCTTGATTCTTCTCACTTGTACAGTTACCTGAAAACCAGATTCGAAAAGGACGAGTTATAATTTAAGTAGGTCTCATTCCCCAGATTACAGACAGACACTGAATTTTCTCTGGGATCAGATGTGACTACTTGATTTTCCAGTCCGGGATGCTCTGAATTTTCTCAGGAGACGTTGGATTGAGACTTCGGAGAATTTGCCTGGCAGGCTTTCCTGAGGCTGCTACAGAGATCATCATCTCTACTTGCTCTGTCCTGGGTCAGAGTCAAAAGCTAAAAATGTCTCTTTTCTTACAGGCCATGAGACACTTGTCTCAACCGGAGCCTCCAAGTCCTGCCACAAAGCTGGTTCCCGGTCCCACATCTGTATGCCCTTATCACAGCTTTCATGCAGAACCTACTCTTGTCTCTGTAGAGGTGACAGACTTCCCTGTCCTACCTCTAAGGTAGGCCACAGAGTGGCCTCAAGCCTGCTCTTACTATGTGCCCTCAGGTGCTCTAGGGAATATTCTTTTTTTTTTTTTAAAGATTTTATTTATTTATTTGAGAGAGAATGAGAGACAGAGAGCATGAGAGGGAAGAGGGTCAGAGGGAGAAGCAGACCCCCTGCTGAGCAGGGAGCCTGATGTGGGACTCGATCCCAGGACTCCAGGATCATGACCCGAGCCGAAGGCAGTCGCTCAACCAACTGAGCCACCCAGGCGCCCCTAGGGAATATTCTATGAAAAAGGCACCTGAAATAACTAACTTTCCCACCACCGGTAGTAGTATATACAGTGTCTAAACCATGCCTAAATCAGCATGATTCTTTTATCATTTTTTTGAAATGCACTGATTAACATTGCTGATTTGATCCTTAGAACAATCATGCTGGTATTATTTGACCTAATTTTTTTAGGTGAGGAAACAGAAATCAAGAGAAGCATGAACGTGGCCAGAGTTAGTGAGGAACACATACAGGCTAGGGCCAGGGTCTCCAGATCCTAATTCAGGGCTCTGTTCACAGCAACCAGCTGCCCCCATTAGTTTCAGATAAAAGCTATCACCGCCCCCCCTCCCCGAGATGCCTTTTGCCCTAGCGACCATATTCTCTGAGAGATAAAGGAGCTGGCCATCATCCTGGCATCCCCATTCCTGTGTGCTTCTCCTCTTTGTTCCTCACCAGCCAGTTCTGACTCCACCATGGTTCCAAGATGGTGACTACAAAGCAGGACGTCAGATTGAAAAGTCACTTGTAGGTGAGTGTGGGTTTGTCTAAGCCTTGGGTCCTTGGGAGGGACTAGAGGTCCTCCTGAGCCCTGGGGCCAGCTTACCTGTGCTGAATTTGCTGGTAAGGCTCTCTGCCAGTTGGCTCCCCTTGGTCAGCTGCTCACGGAAGTGCTGTTCCATGTAGCGGTCAACTCTACTGCTGCTAAGGAGCTCCTCAAAGGTTCTCACCGTATTCCTGACATGCTGGATGAGAAGGGAAGAGAAAGCTCTCCCCATCCTCATCTTTTGCCTCAGGTGGGTCAACTCTCGAGCCTGATCCTGGATCAAGGAATGGTATTTCCTAAAGTGGGAAAGAAATAGTAAGTAGGGAAAGAGGTGACTGATAGGGTATGGTACTTCAGCAGAAGGCACTTACAGAACTTCACCCCAAAATCCCCTACACTGAATTATATAGCACATGTTTTGTGACCCGAATCTGGTAAAGGGAATGAAGGAAGGGACACAAAGCTTTCTTCTGCTTGGAAGACCCCTTCTAAACATGTCTTTCCCCAGCCCTGTACTTCTGAAAATGGAACCAGACTTTCTTCTCTAGTTCTGCTTTAAAATCTGCTCCTGGTTGCTCTCTTCAGTTTATAAACCATCTCAATATGGTAAACAAAGCCAGGCATTAATTGGAAAGTTTAAAGGAAAACCATCATGTGAGAAAAGAAACCACTGTTCTAGGCAGCAGCATTCTTCTCTCACCAGGATGGACCTATCTGTGTGTTCCTGTAGATAGCCAAGGCTCCACTGGTGAGACATCTTCAAGCTCCTTTAATTTAACCATTGTATTCTGCCGCTTCTGTATGCTCCAGTGTAATGAACCAGCACAGTGTTTTGCTCATAGAGTTCAGAAGAATGATCTGAAAAATGATCTCCAAAAAATGATGTGAACTAATTTAGTGTCCCATAATATCCTGGCCAACATGGCGACTATTTGTTACAGAGGAGAGTGGAAGTGGAGGTTTTGGGTCATCTTGTTCCTGAGAGAGGCAACGCGGCTGGATGGATGAAGCAGGAAGCAACAGGCCCAGATTGTAGCCTCAGTGTGTTCTCTCTACCTTCCCAATGCAAACTTGGGAAGTCATTTTCTACTTTGTGCCTCAGTTTCTTCATCTGCAAAGTGAGGGTAAAATGACTACTTTGCCTTTTTAGAAATGTGATCAGGATTGAACTTTATTTTAAAAGTTGGGATGAGTAGAGCAATGCCAGTAAAGCATTTGTCTTATCAGAAAGAAGACAGATCATCACTCATGACTGGTAATGGTGAATTTATCCGACCAACTTGACATTCCTCTGTGCTTCTGTAGGTGTGCCAGAGTGGAACCCATGGCTTCCGATTTCACCAGTTTCTCTTGGAGACTTTGAGCCAGCAGGGAGCACAAGGGCTAGTTGTTTCCTGAGAAGCTGAAATTTGCCTGAGGCCCCAAGGCACTGGTCTAGAACAGGTAATTCAGGCCTTAGAAAGAGCCAGAATGGAGATCAGGACAGGTCATTCCCCAGGTAGCATCAGATCCTATTTGAACCTTTTAGACCATGCTATACTTTATTCATATTTCTGACCAATATTTCTCATATCATAGGCAGCTGCCGGTTCCTAGACTAAGCTCTTTCAGAGCTGGGAGTATTTTAGTCATCTTATGTACACAGCCAAACCCAAAAGAGGCTCTCAGTAAACATTTTTTCCAATTATGGGAAACAGAATCCTTACAAATCTCCACTTATCTCTCACCGTGTTCCTGTCCTAAATGTCCTCTCAGGGAAATGTAATGGCTAACTTTCATGCTAAGGCTCCTACTCAAGAGATTCCTAATGTACCAAAACTTTAAATAAACTCCATAAAATGGCCAAGGGATAGATACTAAACCTTTTGATAAAGGCATTTTCCTGAATTTCCACAATCTATGGCCCACTGTACATACAAATCAGATTACTTAAGACAATTTGTGTAATAGGCAAAAAATTGTATCACAAAAGTGGCACCAAGAAGGATGCAAATTTATCATAAAAAGAGGACTTTGGAAGGCACATGTGACTGGATGGTCCTTTCTGAATCCTTCAATTACCACTCTTGCAAGCACTTCAAGTGACTACCCGCCATGGAATTGACTAAATGTCTCAAATTAAGAAAAAATAATCGTGGGTGATTGTTCTAAACTAGCATGATGAGTTTATAATTAATGTTTAACCTGTCAATCATATAACCTGGGTAAAATCATTAAACTAACCCTAGGGGCTGCTCCTCCATATCTGGACCATTTGAACATTTTCAAGTATACTTTTTCAATTGTCTCCTTCTATGGGCTATCAATATGTACTTGTGGTGGTATATTTATTTTCTAGATGGGTAGAAGCATTCCCATGTGGGCAAGCTTATGACACCACAGTAGCAGAGAAATTACTAGAAAATGTTTTCCATTTTGGGGAATCTCAAATGAAATTTCAAGTGATAAAGGGCTCATTTTACCTGGACAGATTATAAAACAATTAAACAAGGTTATTCAAACATTATGGCACTATCATTGTCTCTATCATCCTTGGTCTTTAGGGGAGGTTGAATGTACCAATGATATTCTAAGATTAAAACTGGCAAAAGTGACTGAAACCACAGGAGTACCTTGGCCTAAAGTGTTACCCTTAGCCCTTAAGACAAAGAAGTCGACATCTTTTGGGAAACATAAATTAACACCTTATGAATTTATCACTAGGCAATCCATGCATTTGATGATAGAACCCCATGCACATCCTGCTCTTGTAAATTCTATTATGACCCAATACTTTAAAGTATGGATGCAATATTCAAAAGCTTATATTGAACAGGTCAAGGAGGCTTTTAGAGACCCTCTGCCTGTTGAAAACTTCATAGTTCCTACCCTGGAACCTAGAGACTGTGTGTTCTGAAAGAGATATCAGTGAAAAATAGCACATATACCTCGAGGAAAAGGGCTCTACCAGGTTCTATTTTTTCACACAGCAGTTAAATTATAGGGTATTGAACTTCGGGTCCATGTCCCTCTACTAAAGAGAACCCCCCTGCTCCTCAATTCTTGGACTTGTCAACCTATGGCTAACTTAAAATTAAGGATTTCCAGGAAAAACAAACAAACAAACAAACAAACAAACTTCCCTTGAAGCAGAAAACAAGGCAAAATGGATAGCTTACACCGAAGACCACAGAAAAAGATTCTGCTAGATCCCTTATCTTTTTCCAGGACTCATTTTTATAACAATTAATGTGATATTACTGCTTTACAAACTAACACAAAACATTCACAGTCATGTTCCTTTTTCTGTTAGGGATTTTCTCTACCCACTAAGGCCTACCATTCAATGCACACCCTCCTTTACTAAGCAAAATGATTGTTGGTTATGTACCCACTTACATGCTCAGGAAGACTCCAGTTAATATTAGAACCAGCTCCTATACATGCTTGGATGACAGGAAAATGGCTTTACAAAAAGGTTTGGTAACCATCTCTTGGCCATTTAATACTTATGGCCAACTAATCTGGTACTGGGAGGAAGCTTGAAAGCCATAGGATAGCCCATAACCACTGCAAACTTCATTTCTGAGAATCTGTCCCTATACATAGAAAACCTTGTACAGAAATGGTACTGGACCTAATTTAAGGCAGGTTCTAGACTCGCTCCATAATCACACACTTTGGTTTGATTCAAATGATGGAGATTGGGCTTCTATATATAACAACACAGATTTTAAAATAGATAACGACAATGATACTTTGATTATGCTATTAGGAAAATTACTGAATCCAAACTTAACTTGGCTTATTCTGCAAAAAAATAAATATTACCTTGGGTCACTTCTTGCATATGTCTCTGAAAATCATGGATGAAGAATTCAAGCTGTCCCCCCACATTGGCATGAGGTGGTAACTTTTAACCAACCCTCAATCATTAGGAAAACTCTAATGATATAATCATTGAAAATAACAAACAACCTCTGCATTCTCACTATATAAGCTGTCTTATAACAATATACCTCTGAGCCTCATTCCACTGTCAATTTGAGAGCTCCCAGGTGTAAACTATTTTTATGTGCACAAAAAAACTCTGACTAATATTTTAGTGATCTAGTGGTTTCAATCTTGCTATTTCTAGATTTTTGACACTTAATTCCCTGTAACTTCTTTCACAACAACTTTGGTTACCTCCCATCATCTCTCCCCTAAGAGTAAGAACTCTCTTTTTCCAACCAAGAAGATGCTCCTCCCATCTGCTCTTTCAGCTCTGAGATCTCAGGATATAATGTTGGCACAGTGTTTCTTGCAAAGTATACATACATGCACGCATGCACACACGGACATAGCTGTGCATCAGGAGCCACGGCTTGGTCCTGGCTGCAATTACTAAGTTAACCGACCTTTTAACGTCCCAGTCCATCAAGATGTAGAAAATACTAGTGCAGGAAGAGGCCTCATCTTATTTTACAGATGAAGACACTGAGACCCACAAAGAGTAAGAAATATATCTGATATATGTGAATAATATCTCAATAAAGCTGGAGTGGGGAGAAATATACCTGAGCTCCCATCATTATTTGGTGGAAAAACCATTATTAAAAATTTTGGCTCCCGGGCGCCTGGGTGGCTCAGTTGGTTAAGCGACTGCCTTCGGCTCAGGTCATGATCCTGGAGTCCCTGGATCGAGTCCCGCATCGGGCTCC